ACTGTATGCCAGTTTCCATGGGGCATGGCAGGATGGAATAAAACTGGGCTTCTATCCCTCAAGGAACCCCCTGCTTAAAGGGGAGGGAAGGTGAGGAAGTAATTATAACACAGTGTGACAGCTGAGGTCTGTTCCAGGGTGAGATGATTTATTTGCCTGGGAGCGCCCAGCTGGCTTTTCAAAGTGACTTTTGATTGTAAAGGTAACAGTAGCTAAAATGTAACTCTCACTCACCCTGTGCCAGACACTGTGCTAAGGGTTTAACATATAATCTCGTTTAATCCCAGCAGCAGTCCTGGAGGGTGGAAACCATTATTATCATGCCCATTTTATAGACGTGGCAGTTGAGATTATAAGGCTTGCCCAAGGCCACACAGTTGGTTAAATGGCAGAGCCCAGGCCTACTGGACCCATCACTCATTCATTCATTCATTCACCCACCAGATCTGTCTCGGCACACACGCTGTAGGCCACGTGCCCGCCTCCATTTGGGGGCTCCAGTGTCTCTTCTGTGTTGCTCCAAGGTAAGCCTTGAAGAAGGAATAGGAGTTGCCGAGGTGGAAAGGGCATCCAGGGAGAGGGTATAGCTTGGACAACGGGATGCAGGCATGAAAACATATGGTGTGTTCAAAGAAACACAGTTAGACCGGGCTTTGGACTGAAACACACTTAACTTTTTAGCTCTACCTCTGCCATGTCCTGGCTGTATGACTCTAGGCAAGCAAGTTCTCTCTGAGTCTCACTTTCTTCACCTGCAAAACGGGAACAATATTAATCCTCCCGGGGCTTCTGGGAGGATTAGATGAGTTTGCATAGGTAAAAGTGGCTTGGCGCATAGTAGGCCTTAGAGAAAATGAATTGAAAGAATGGAGAGAACTGATTTAGAGGGTCACCATCAAATGTGAGCACCTCTTGAGTGACTCCTTGTATGGGGCACTGTTCTAGCTTATGCCGGGATTGCAAAGGGGTGTTGGATTTGTTCCTTGCCTCAGGGAGTTTACAGTCTACTTGAGAGACAGTTCAGAGGCTCCGAAGACAAGAAAGAGTTGAGCTGGCTGAGGCCAGGGTCCTGGAGGGCATGTGGTACAGGGGCTCTAGAGGCTCAAGGGAGGGCCTGATTCCTGGGGACCTCACTGCGGGTACTCATTGGACTGGCCTTGAAGACTCCAGCAGGGTGTAATTCCAGGCATCTGGGCTGGGGCGGCTCTTTGGGTTCTGTGGAATTCAGTGTTTTGAGAGGCAGTGGAAAGAGGTACCTGGGAGGGGGTGTGCCACATCCAGGCTGCCTGGGCTAGAACGCTAGTTGTCTTCCAGCTTTTACAAGCAAGTCTGATCCTCTGCAAAAGGGCACAGTAACAGTGCTCACCTCCTGGGTGAAACTACTGTTTCGTTGTTTATCTTTGTCATCTGGTTGCCACCAGCCCCTAGCCAAGTCCTAGCAAAGGGTGGGCACCTGAGCAGGCTGGTGGGCTGGAGGTGAGGCCCGTGCAACCACACACACACACACACACACACACACACACACACACACACACACACACACACACACACACACACACACACACACACACACACACACACACACACACACACACACACACACACACACTCTCAGGCTCCACCTGCCTGTACTGGAAGGTTTACTTGCTGCAGTGGCTCTCAGGCCCCAAGGGCTCTTTGGGGCCTTTATGGGGTAATTCCATCTCCATTAGGGTTTATTATGTCACTATAAATACCACTTTTCTGTGCCGCTTTATAAGACTCACTGACTCACCGAAGAACTTTCCTTCTCAGCATCCAGTCACCCAGAGCGGGAGGGACTCAGGGTGAGACAGGAAGAGAGGGAAGGGTGTTGTCACCAGGTGAGTGACTAAAGACCAAGGAGCTGCCCACACTCCACACCCTGCTGCGCTCTCACATACCACCCTTCCCACACGCCTCTGCTCATGTCCTGTGTCATAGATGAGCCACACTTAGCTCTGGGCTCTCAGCCCGCAGCTGGGCACATCCTGCAGGCACTCAGCCCACAGCCAACAGGGCCTGCCTGCACCCCAGCATGTGGGTTCAACCTTGCGGGGCCACACATGCAAACCCACACATGCCACACAACGACTTTCACATGACATCGAACTTGCCAACACCTTCATTCATTCATCAGTTCGTACATTCAGCAAAGGTTTGCTGAATACCCACTATGTGTCAGATGCTGCCTGTTTTCCACAAACATCCCTGCCCTCTTGGACCGCATCTTCTAGTGATGCGTCCAACATTCAGAGCCTGCAGTGGTATGTAACACACATGTACAGTCTTACATACAACATACAGGAAATCTTATGCTCACCACACAATGTCCATAGCCCAGACGGTCCAACACAAAATGCAAAACACTTATCCATACCATGTACTACACACACACACACACACACACACACACACACACACCCCTCACCGGCCATGCGCAGCGCCCTGTGCACACCTCCTGCCCCACCCGTTACAGATGCTGCTTCCTCTGGCTGCACCACGTGTGACCATAATAACAGCTGAGATTTAACAAGCGCGTTCCGTCATCCTGGCTTCTGCAGTTAACATGCATGATCGTATTTGATCTTCACAGTAACCCTCTGAAGTAGGTTTATACATCTTCCAGATGAGCAAACCGAGCCTCCAAGAAGTGAAATGTCCAAAAACTCACAGGCTGACTCTACAGCCTGCAGTCTTGACCACTGCCAAGTACGGCACATTCATAGTCACACACAAATCCTCTCATGTCCACACGTGCTCACACACACACACATACACATGTCCACACACTCAATCTCATGGACACTTGCACACTCACACACTCTCAGAAGACCAAGGCTCTCCTCCCATCATCTTGGTCGAAGGCTTTAATTATACTATCCCAACACCTGTAATTAACCCTCCCACCCCCTTCCAAGGGAGATGTCTGGACCCGCTTCCCAAGGGCTGGCGCCAAGGCCGAGGGTCCAAGATGTCCACATCTGGCAGGGAGGACCTGGGTACCAGAGTAAGTCAGTGTGGCTGTCTGGTGAGCAGGTCCAGGAGAGTCAAGAAGAGGATGGGGTGAAAGAGAAGGAGGTGGGCAGAGGGGGTTGTAGCCTCCCAGGAAGCCAGGCTTGCTACAGCTGCTCCTCTTGCACTGGACTGGCCAAATGGCGATTGGGCAATAGGCAACCGTGGGTGGCCAGGCAGGCAGGAGAGAGGCCATTTCCCGTTTGTTTCACTAGCACCAGCCACTTCTGTCAGGAGGGGAGATGAGCTCATGTCTGAGGAACTGTTGGGGAGAGGTCCCTTGAAGGGGCAGGTGGGAAGCAGGTGTCCTGTCCTCCAAAGTGTCAAAACAGACCAAATGATTCTACCATGCCAGGGTTGGGGCATAGGGGCGCTCTACCCAGCAGCCTCTTGCCCACCCTTTCCCAATATGGGCAGTGGTTAAAGCAGAGACTACCCAGATTCAAATCCTGACTCTAATACCTTTGAGCTGTGCAACCTTTGGGCATATTGTTTAAGCTGTTGGAGCCTCGGTTTACTCGTCTGTAAAATGGGGATAATGACATCTCCCTCCCAGATGAGAATTAAAGGAGATATGCATGTCTGACTCGTTTTTAGACGAGGTTGCTCTCAGATGACTGTATTCTTACAGGCCCCTGAGCAGAGAAGCTCTCCTTGACCTCCGACGGTTTGGTGCACAGTTTAGAAATCCCAGGAAGAGGGGCATCTGGGTCTATTTTGGAGCTCTCTTTCCAAACAAGCTGCTAAGCAGGCAACTGCTTCTTGACCCTCCAGGCCATTTCAGTTCAGGCCACCGGGCCAACGATGAGCTCGGCCCCAGAGGGCAAAGGGTGAGAGTGGGGGATGGCTCAGCGCAAAACCATTCCCCACGTCTGGGCCGAGGATTCCGGCTCAGAGATCCTCGAGGACTAGCCCTGGTTGCACTGGCCCTTGGAGGCGCTCAAACTTGGATGGACCTGGGGGGCGCCAGCGAGTCCAGCGGGCCCAAAGAGCCCCTCCAAACCCCTCGGGACTTCCCCTCCCATCTCGCCGGGTGCCAGCCCGGCCCCTTTAAAGACATTCCTGAGGGCGTGGCTTCGCTGACGTCAGCGCGGGACATGAATGAACAGGAGCCGGTTCTCACTCAACTTCCATTAAGCACTCGGGGCAGAAGTTACGCGCAGGCGGCAGGAGGGAGCCGGACATCGAGGCCTGCGCGCGGGCGTGCGGGAGCCGGGCACGGAGAACCGGGCTGAGAGCAAGGAGCGCGGCATGGAGCGTCTGGCACCCCGCGCCTGCCTCGCCCTGCTGTGGGGCTGCCTGCTGGCCGCGGCTGCCGCGGCGCAGGGCAAGGAAGGTGAGTGTGCGCGCCGGCGGCCACCCGGCCCGACCCAGCCGCGGCGGCCGGGCCCCGCAGTTTAGAAATCCCAGGAAGAGGGGCATCTGGGTCTATTTTGGAGCTCTCTTTCCAAACAAGCTGCTAAGCAGGCAACTGCTTCTTGACCCTCCAGGCCATTTCAGTTCAGGCCACCGGGCCAACGATGAGCTCGGCCCCAGAGGGCAAAGGGTGAGAGTGGGGGATGGCTCAGCGCAAAACCATTCCCCACGTCTGGGCCGAGGATTCCGGCTCAGAGATCCTCGAGGACTAGCCCTGGTTGCACTGGCCCTTGGAGGCGCTCAAACTTGGATGGACCTGGGGGGCGCCAGCGAGTCCAGCGGGCCCAAAGAGCCCCTCCAAACCCCTCGGGACTTCCCCTCCCATCTCGCCGGGTGCCAGCCCGGCCCCTTTAAAGACATTCCTGAGGGCGTGGCTTCGCTGACGTCAGCGCGGGACATGAATGAACAGGAGCCGGTTCTCACTCAACTTCCATTAAGCACTCGGGGCAGAAGTTACGCGCAGGCGGCAGGAGGGAGCCGGACATCGAGGCCTGCGCGCGGGCGTGCGGGAGCCGGGCACGGAGAACCGGGCTGAGAGCAAGGAGCGCGGCATGGAGCGTCTGGCACCCCGCGCCTGCCTCGCCCTGCTGTGGGGCTGCCTGCTGGCCGCGGCTGCCGCGGCGCAGGGCAAGGAAGGTGAGTGTGCGCGCCGGCGGCCACCCGGCCCGACCCAGCCGCGGCGGCCGGACCCCGGGACCCCCGCTCCTCCCGGAGGCAGGCGCGCCTGGACGCGCGCAACTTTGGAAACTGACCTGGCGCCGCCCAGTCCCGGAGTGCTGAGGTCGGGAGGACTTGCTGGCTGCGATCGGGACGAATCTGGGACTCCCCCACCCGGGGTTATAGGGGCTCCGGGGACTAAGAGGTTGGGGCCCCGGGCGCGGGGTTCAGAGGCCGCAGAGAAGGGGACCCGGAACTCTACTCAATGTTCTGTGGTGACCTAAATGGAAGGAAATATAAAAAAGAGGGTATATATGAACCTATGACCGATTCACTTTGCTGTACAGCAGAAACTAACACGTTGTAAAGCAACTATACTCCAATAAAAATTTTAAAAAAGAAAGAAAGAAAGAAAGAAAGAAAGAAAGAAAGAAAAGGGGGACTCAGGGCGGCCACACGGTTGCAGCCAGGGTGGCGGTTTCAGCAACGCATCCCGGCGGGGGCTCGGGGTCCCTTGGAGAATGGGCTACCTGGGGGCCTTTCGGCCGGCTCAGCTTCACGGTGAATTCGCTAACCTGCTTGCCCCGATTTTGTGGAGAAGGCGTTTCTGTGGAGGCCCCTCATTTTGGGGAGGGGTCTCTTCGACAGGCGAGGAGACAGACCCCTGCAGCAGCCCCAGCTCCCTGAGATTTTCTCCACGCCCCCTTATGCCTCCAGTCGGGGAGCAGAGCTTGCGGGGAGCTTCGGGCCAACCTGCCCACGCACAGCCTTCCCTCCTTCCCTCCCCGCACTCCCAGGCTCGGGGGGCGGGCTCGGGGCCGCGAGAGCGGACAGGAAGTCCCAAAGTCAAGCGTTCTGAACAAGGGGTGACTCAGAACGAGGAAATGCGGCAGGTGGGGGCGCGGCCGCCCAAGGTGTGGAGCCGTCACCCCAGGGCCACCAGGGAGTCCAAGCGCCCGGGGGTGGGGGACTGCATCACCCACCCCCGCCCCAGCGCTCCAGCTGCCGCGCTGCGCAAGGGGCCGCGGACTTTGCCCTGGGCGGGGCGGGTGGTGGATGGGGACGTTGCCCCTCGGCTAGGATCGCAGAGAGGATGGGGGCTCTTGCCCTTGGCCGAGGACCTTCCTGTCTACCCAGCCGAGGCCGGTTTCAGTTTCCGACTGAGAACGAGTGTTGCCCGCTCGCCGGGGCCGAGGGAGGTTTCCGCAGGCTCCACCAGGGGGAAGTGCGGAGGAAGCCCTGGCCCGGTGAGAAGTTTCCTTGAGCCTTGCCTTCCTTTTCCGCCTCCCAAACTGGGGTTGGAGGTTTTGCTGTTCCAAGTTGGGAGGAAAAGAGGCCAGAGCTGGAACTCTTGGAGGGTGGAGGCGGGGGTGGCATCCTGTCCCCGTCCCTGAATCACTCAGGGTTTCTTGTCCCAATGTGCTGGAGGAGTGGGTGGCAGGGATTTCTGTGATCCTCAATACCCGCCCCCCCTCAGCTTTTCGTCCTCCCCCTTCCTGGGGGATTGCGGTTGGAGAGAAGGGGAGAGACAGCTGGATTCACTACAGGCCTTTCTTGAAGGCTGCCCATGGGGGGTGGGGGGATTAGGCAGGACGGATGCTACTGGGCGATTCTTGTGCTGCAGCCTTGTCCTTGTGCCCCTCTGCCGAGCCCTCCCCAGCCTAGATGACTAGTGCCCCCCGCCATGGAACGGGGGAGGAAAGGGACAGGGGAACATTCTTCCTTAGGCTTCAAGAGTCCCTGTGAAGGACTCCCTAAGGAGGTGTGCCTGTAGTGGGGGGGTGGGGGAGTGATGGCCCAGCTGCCGGGATTCTGGCTGGATGTGCTGGATCTGCCTGGGGCTGGGTTGGGGGTGCAGAGACACAAGTCCCTTCAAACCTTCACCCAGGCTGCTCTTCGCTTCCCTTCTCCTTCCCCGTGAGTGGAGGAGCCAGGCTGCCTTGGGAGACCCAGATGGAGCCTGTTAAATTCTCAGCAGCCACTGAATCTGTCCTCCTTTTACAAATGGGGAAACAGGGAGGCCCAAGCCCTCCCTCAGTAGGGCCCTCTGTATAGGGAGGGTTAGGTCCGAGCATCTGGCTTCTTGGGCTGCCAGAGCCCAGGGCCCCCGCACCCGGTTGTGTGGTGTGTTTTTCTGAGAAGTGAGAATAGCTGGGCAGGGGTGCAGGGCTTGCTGACTTGAGGTGCAGCTGGGAGGTGGGCTGGAGAGCACTCAGGAGGCCTGGAAAGTCCTTGGCTTCTTGATTCCATAAGAGCCCAATGTGCCCTCTGTCCCCAGTCCCCTGCCTCCCTGCTTCTCTAGGAATTAGCTGGTCTTGGTTCAGGAGGGATGGGGGGAGCAGGGAGGTGACACTAGGGGAATGGGTGGTCGTACTGCCTTTGAGTAAAGAGCCCTAAAACAATATGGACCCAGAAGGATGACATTTATGATGGAACTTCAGACTGAGAAGGAGGTTTTCCTGGGGGTGGGAGGAGGGACAGGGGGGCTCCTGGATGAGCCCTGCGTAGCCCAGGCTTCTCAGTGAAGCCTTCGGGGCCAGCCGAGGGGCTGTTGGCCCCTGCCCCTTCCAGGGCTGTTGGCCCTCACCCCTTCCAGGAGCCTCAGACCCCGGAGGCCGCTCAGGGAGAGGCCGCACCGCACCCGTGCGGCTGGGTGGAGGGTGGAGGGACCCGGGCTGGGCGCCTGTTCCTGGTGATTGGTTCTAGGGAATTTCCCCGGGAGGGGGCTCCTTCCTGTGTGAAGGCTTCTTTTCTTCTCCGATGAGCCCTGTGATATTTCTAGAGTCAGGCCTGGGTCTGGAAGGGGAGCGAGCTCTGGCAGGGGTGGTGGGGGTCCCTCCGTGCCAGGTTAACCCTTCAGAGCCTAGGAGCCATGAGCCCCCTTCCCCAGGGGCGCAGACTGCAGCTTCCCAGGCCTCTAAGGAAGGGGTGTGTGCAGGGCCTTGAGGGACACTCACCTTTGTCCGCCTACACACCCAGCTGGAGCCCCCAGATTCCTTCCTGTGTAGCCAGGACATTCCATTTGCTAGTGGGGTTAGTGAGTTTTCCAAGCCTGAGCCTTGGGCATGTCCGAACAAATCCCTGCCCCTACCCCCCCCCCACCCAGCCACCCACCTATCCATTGCCAGGCCCAGGGCTAAGTGCTGGAGGACAGAGGCGGCTCCGGCTCTCAAAGAACTCCCAGTCTGGAAGGTTGTTTGGATCCTGTAGGTTACGGTGGTAGCTTATGTTCTCCTCGACATTTCAAGGTTAGTTTCTTCCCACCCAGCCACCCTCCCCTGTCCCCTCAGCCTTGGGGCCGGTGCCACATCGGATTTCCTCTCCCTGTCTGGGCTGTGAGGCCCTTCCTAGAGAGACTTGGCCCGGGTCAGCAGCGGTCAGGTGGCAGAGTGCTTCATCCCCAGGCCTGGGGGCCTTCAGCCCAGGCGAGCAGGGCAGTCTGTCCTCAGGAAAGGGTTTCTCAGACTCTACTCAGGCCCCTCTCCCCCTCCCTCCCCATCTCTCTAAATGAGGCCCATCTACTCCTGCCTGGGATTGCACCCTTAGAGTCATTCTTCCAGGCCTAGGCCTTGAAGAATGCACCTTCTTGAGGCCATATTCCTCATGCTCCAGACTCCAAAGGAAGTAAGCACTTGGTCCCTTACCCCCTCCACCTTAGGGCTTTACTCTTGGAATCCAGGAACCTTGTATAGGGTCCATGCCTCAGTTTCTCCAATCTCGTTATCCTCCAGGGAGGGTACCTTCTATTGGCAGCTACCTGGACCTTACTTGGAAATGGACGAGGGGGCCATACTGGGGTCTTGGGTCTTGGCTGTAGCCCCTGAGCCTGGCAGAACCGGGGGTGGACCAGTGGGAGGTGCCCAAGGCGGGGGCTGGATCTAGGGAAGCCCCTGGCAATGTGTCCTTCCCTCAGGCTCCAGATGCTTCTCTGGGGATAGTGTGGTCCTGGCATCTGGTCCCTCCCTTTGGGCCTGGAAGTCCTCTTTAAGGGTTTCCATCCCTGGTCCCCTAGGCACCCCTGGCAGGGCAGTGGCCAGGGTGTGAGGGATGGGGGCAGCGGGAGCGATTTTCCCAGGGAGGGGACCTTGCCAGCTGTGTGTATCTTTGGGTCCCTCCTAAAAGCCCCTATGGGTTCAGGGCTTTATCCTGCCTGCTCTGTGGCTTTTGTGGTGGGAAGATTGGTTTCCAGACCCCCCCACCAATCCTGCTCCCCTCCCTGGAGCTGTTCCCACCTGTGAACAGCTCTCTCCTCTTGGAGGGCCATGAGACATGTGTGTACATACATGTGCTGCATAGGCATGTGCTACGTGGCCTGGGTGGGGCTGAGGGTGTTTTGTGCTGTGTGTGTATGGAGGGGACGTGGCAGGATCGGACAAGAGTGCCTCCAAGGCCCACGTGCATGTGAAGTGCTGCGGAGGGGCCCTGTTTCAGGAAGCAGATGGGGCAGCGTGGTGTCACTTAATAGCCCTGCTTGCCCCAGCTCTCTACCCAGCTGTTGTTCCCCTGCTGGGCCGAGCTCTGTCCTGCTCTGCCCAGCTGGGGGCGGCTGAGGGGGTGGCGTGGGCTGGGAGACGTGAGGCCTCACCCAACCTGCTCTGTGACTTTGACTAGGTCCCATCCCTTGCCTGGAGCTCTGCTTCCCTATTTCTGGAGAGACGGGTCTCTTGGACATGGTGACCCTGTGTGGTGGGGTCTCTCTCTGAGGGCTGAGAAAGCCTTCAAGGCTTCTTGGGATTCCTGGGGGACTCTCACCTTTTCCACCATGGCATGACCCCTGAAGATACCCCCAGGCTCACCCAGCGCCCTCTCTCATCTCTTCCAGTCGTCCTGTTGGACTTTGCTGCAGCTAAAGGGGAACTCGGCTGGCTCACTCACCCATATGGCAAAGGGGTAAGCCTTCAGGGTGCGGGTGTGGGCATGAGGAAGCTGAGACCCAGGGAGGATGGGGCCTTGCCCAGATCAAACAGCTCAGCGAGCGTTCAAACTCAGGTTCCTGCTTCTCACACCAACTGGGCAGGCTGGGGTTGGAAGGTGGGGAAGGGACCCGAGAGGTGGAAAGAGCTGGGGAGACAGCTGAAGGCCCTAGCAGAGCAGGACCCTTGGATGCCCCAGAAGGCTGAGGGTCAAGAGGGACCCCCTCTCGCTCCCTTCATTCCCCTCTTGGGTGGGAAGGGGTTAAAGGCTCCCCCTGCCTTTGACATCCCAGCTCAGGAAGTGAGGAGTGAGGAAGAGACAGGGAATGTGGGCTCCCAGGTCCCCACAGCCCCGGGAAACCGGATCAGGTTCCTTCCTGCTGGGCCCTCTCCCCGCTCCCCCAGCTGTTGTTTCCCTTTCCTGCTCGGGGTTGAGTTTGTTTTACCTCCTTCCCACCCAAGTTCATTCCCTCCACTCCCTCTGCCCTGCCCCGCTGTGACCTGGACCGGTGGGCAAGACCCCAGGGTCCTCTCCCTGGCTTTGCCTGTGACGACTGTGTGGCCTTGGGGAGGATACTGCTGCTCTCTGGGCCTCAGTTTTCCCCTTGTTGAATTTGTTCTGGGGCCTCAGCTGGGGAGAGCGGTGTCTCCAGGGGGATAGCTGGGGACAGTTTCTATTGCTGGCCAGATCTGTGGAGTCAGGCACTTGTCCCTGGTCACCTTAGCTCCGAGGAGGCCTGGAGTTGAACTCTAGTGGATTTCCAGGATCCTGGAATGTTCAGCTGGGAGAGAGCACAGATCACCTAATGCAACCCCGTCATGATATAGAGTGGGAAACTGAGGCTCAAGGGCATCTGAGGCCCGTGTGACACAATGCAGCCCAGGTCTTTTTTCTTGGCCCCTTCTGGTTTTTTCATTCATTTGCTCATTCATTCAACAAATACTTTCCTGAGTACCTACTCCATTTCAGGTAGGCCCTGGGGATACAGAAATGAACTAGATGCAGTCTCTGCCCTAAGGAGCTCAGAATCTCGTGTGGGAGCCAGGTGTAGTTGTCACCACTTAGGTGCTAAGATAACAGAGACTGTGGGAGCCAGGGGGAAGCACTTGCCCCAATCTTGGCCCAACCTGGGAAGTCTTCCTGGAGGAGGCTGAGCAGTGTTCTGAGGAGTGATGGGTGATTATCCATTGTTTCTGACTTAACCTCTTCCCTGCCACTCATACACATCTACACAGTGAATTATAATGATAATAATAAGAGAGATAATAATGATAATGATACCAGCTGCCTTGTATGACTGTCACCCACACCAGGCAATGTGTTCAGCATTCGATAGACATTCTGTCATTTATCTTCACAGCAGTTCTCTGAGGTAGTTTTTGCCCCCATTGTACAAGGGGGACTTTGAGGCTCAGAGAGTTTAAGTGATCTGCCTGAGGTCACATGGGACCCCCAGCCCCCACCCTCATCTCACTGTGTAATATCCGAGTTCAGCACTGCAACACTGGCGTCAGGGACACCAGGGGGTCAGATCCAGCTCAGCCACTTGTAGTGTGTGACAGTGACTTGAAGCCCCTCCCTGGGCCTCAGTTTCCTTCCCTGTAGAATGAGGACAGCAGGAACCATAGAGCAGCTTCCTGATGCCCAGCTCTGCCACCTGGGCGATGCCTCTGGGCCTCAGTTTCCCCCAGGCACCCGCCCACACTAACCTGTCGGCCCCGTGCAGTGGGACCTCATGCAGAACATCATGGACGACATGCCCATCTACATGTACTCCGTGTGCAACGTGGTGGCTGGCGACCAGGACAACTGGCTCCGCACCAACTGGGTATACCGCGGTGAGGCCGAGCGCATCTTCATCGAGCTCAAGTTCACCGTGCGTGACTGCAATAGCTTCCCTGGGGGCGCCAGCTCCTGCAAGGAAACCTTCAACCTCTACTACGCCGAGTCTGACGTGGACTATGGCACCAACTTCCAGAAGCGCCAGTTCACCAAGATCGACACTATCGCGCCCGACGAGATCACAGTCAGCAGCGACTTCGAAGCACGCCACGTGAAGCTGAACGTGGAGGAACGCTCCGTGGGGCCGCTCAGCCGCAAGGGCTTCTACCTGGCCTTTCAGGACATCGGTGCCTGCGTGGCACTGCTCTCTGTCCGCGTCTACTACAAGAAGTGTCCCGAGCTGCTGCAGGGGCTGGCCCACTTCCCCGAGACCATCGCGGGCTCCGACGCGCCCTCCCTGGCCACCGTGGCTGGCACCTGCCTGGACCACGCTGTGGTACCACCCGGGGGTGAAGAGCCCCGCATGCACTGTGCCGTGGACGGCGAGTGGCTGGTGCCCATCGGCCAGTGCCTGTGCGAAGCAGGCTACGAGAAGGTGGAGGACGCCTGCCAGGGTGAGTGACGGTGCTGGGGTGGCAGAGAAAGGGGGGTACTGGGGTGGAGGCTGTGGTCCAGGATCTGGTCTCAGCTCTGGGATGTGGGGATCTTGGTAAGGTTGTCCCTGCTCAGACATGCAGTGGTTCTGTTAGTGAAAATCTTGGAGGCTTCCTGGCCTTATGATTGGATTCACTCATTCACCGAGAATGAATACATTGAGAAACAGTATGGAGGTTACGAGTGAAGACTCTTGGAAAGAATACCTGGGTTCAAATCCCAGGTCTACATTTAGCTGTGTGACTTTAAGCCAATTCCTTAACCTCTCTGTGCCCGGGTTTCCTCATCTGTAAAATGGAGACGAACATAGTGCCCATCTTGTAGGGTTGTTATGATAATCAAATGACTTAATACTTGTAAAGTTCTTAGGTCAACGTCTGACACATAAGCGTTTTTAAGTGTGATTGTTATTTTTGATTCATCCCACAAGTATACCTTGAGTATCTATTATATACCAGCACTGTGGGCACATAGCACAGTCCCAGGAGCTAGTCTGTTAACTCCCTGTGACTTTAGGCAAGTCACTTAACCTCTCTGGGTCTCAGGCTTCTCTTTTGTACATGGAGGTGAGTGAATTGAACCCAGGATTCGCATCCCCTGGCTGCACATGCCAGTTACCTGGGGAGCTTTTTGAAAAATGCCTGCGTTGGGGGGATACTCAGGATCTGCCCTCCCCACCTAACTCTCCCCAGGGCCATAGACTCAGATCCTCCCATCGGGTCTTCTACTGATGTCAGATTGAGCCCAGAGAGGGGGCCAATTAAATCAGACTCTCTCTGGGAACAGGGCCTGGGCAATAGTGAGCTCACACTGGGAGGCTGTGGCTTGGCCTGGCCAGGACCTGTGACAGCGGAAAGCTCTAGAGCAACGTGGATTTTTTCAATGGGTGACTTTTTCTGGAAATGGCTGTGGGGCAGGGCATTTGTGGAATGTAGGCAGACCTTTGGAAGGCCAGCTCATCCCCTCTCTCTGGGAGCTTCTTTGCTGAGATAAGCAGGGTGTTGAGAAATTGGGGGGTTAGGCCCTACAGCTATACATACCGACTGAGTGACCTTCAGTAAATCTCTCTTCATCTCTGGCCTCAGGCTTCTTGTCCGTAAGACAAGAAGTTCAACTATACTAGCAGACTGTGTACTTGGTTTTTAGCCATGGATCCTGCAACCCATGAAAGGGTTTCAGGTATTGCAGGAGCCTGAAGCCCTTTCTCATGGGCTCCACTTGCCTCTTAAAACAAATCCTCAGAACCCTGCTTAACACAGTCTGCAAACCTCTGAATGAGACGTCCCCTCAGAGCCTTTCTGTGCCTGTGGTGTAGTCTCTGCTCTGGCCCTTCCCACCACCCTGTTGTCCTCCCAGCTCTCCTCTGCTCTTCAGGCGGCCCCTGCTTTAGGTGACCTCAAGTGCACACTCCCAGTTTCAGACAATGACTGGGGGGAGTTGCGAGGGAGCCCAGTGGGTTGAGCAGACTCCTCCCACATGACATCCTCACACAAGAATGCAGGGGTGGGGGGTGAGGGGCAGCTGAAAACTTTCCACAGGCTGGTGATTCAGGCCCTTCAGAGATAAGTGGACAGTTGAGGTTGGGGAGGGGTGTCTCTCTCCAGGAAGGGGGGCAGGCTTCCCTCCCCAGGAAGTGGGGGGTCAGGGCCTCACAGGCTTTGTTTGTGAAGAGTTGAGCCACCCCAGGGTAGGGAGGACTGGTTTCCAGGAGCGAAATCTTTGACTTTGCTTGTGGGACCCTCTCCACTGCCGGCCACCTGTTGCCTTGGTTTTTCCTCCTTAGGATCCCTCTCCCAAAATTCCCTTCACTGTGGTTTAGGGACCCTGTGTGTGGTTGGGAACCCCCAGCCCGCCTACTCTTTATCCTTCCAGACCTTCCCCAGCACCCCTGACCGGGATGCCAGTGGAGATAATAACAGTAATTCCCTTAGAAAAGTGCTCTTCAAAAAAAAAAAAAAGGAAGAAAAGAAAGTGCTCTTCCAGGGCAGGCATGAGCTCGGCAAGCGCTTTATCTTGTTGTTTCTGC